TCGGAAGAGAAATTTTGATCAAATTTGAGACTAATGTAATAATATTGAGGAAAGGTAGACTCACACTACGATGCATATCATATCCAATTTCATGACCGTGAGACACTAGTATATCCCACGAGATTTGATCTATGGTGGCAACCAAGGTATCTGTGAGTCCATGTCCTGTTCTTTTCCTGTTAAACCTCCTGCATTCGAACACAAAAAATTTTGTGTTCAATTTCTCATCAGGCTAATAGTAACATAATTTAACCAATGATTATAGTAATTTCGTTGCAGAATAATAGTTAACAAGGATGCAACTCCACTCTGGGTGGACTAGGCATTTTGGTGTCTACAAAATGATTGGGGAACAGAAAGAAAGAGAAAAGGGTTTCACACACTGGACAAAACTTTGGTTAAAAGTTTCCCACTTTATCGTCCTTATCAAATATGCCAACATAATAAGTCTATGATGGTCCAGCTATCTTGTTCCCTTGTAGGGCTGAACGAATAATAATATGTTTAAATACCAATTTAAATCAAATTTAATAAAAAAATTACGTATTTTAATAAAAAAAAGAAAAAATTTAGTAAGTATAACTTTTTTTCAACCCTAATAATTCAATTGATTCTCAAATATTCAAAGTTCAACTAACATAACATTTACAGAATTAGATATGCAAGTGTTGCAATAATCTTCTACAAGCGTTCCACTAGTCCATTACGATAAATTCTTTCGTACTATTTTAATTGGTTTCAACTTAAACATAAAGTTAACAGTTATTTTTCATTTATATCTATTACTTTGTCCGTGTCAATATAAATCGAGCTTGCCGACAAAGACCATACACCTCTCAAAGTGGAGAATTTCTATCACTTTGTTCATATCACCAACGTCAAGGGTTTCAATATATTCGGCATGTAAAAAAGTTCATTGTCGTTCTACTGATACTAGTGTGGACTAGGACATAGAGTATTATTTTAAGGTATTCTCATTTTCACTTTCTTACTGGACCATCATCTCATTGTCACTCTCTCTTCAACTTGAAGTAATAAGTTCCGTGAGCCTTTGATGGCTCAACAAAGCTAGGTCATATGTATATCAATAGGTACAAGAAAAGGACATGGTTAAATGGACATGATCTACCTTCAAGGACCCAAGAACTACCATTAACCAAAAAAAAGGGTTCTATATAAGTTTGAGATTTAATTAATTAATATGGCATTGTTTCAATATTTATACAAACTTACCAGCCAATGGAGTAGTCTCGCCTGTTAATGCAGTCACTGAATTTTTTGACAAAAGCTTTCCTCATTTCTGCATCACTAACATATGATGTTATGGTCTCAAGCAAGGCTATGGTTTTGGCCCACGCTAGTCTCACATGTGACCTTTCAGGCTCAAATATGTTTGCTGCTGCCAGAAAATAAGCCAACAGAAGACTTCTTCTGCTCATTCCAAACTCTCCCAATCTAGATTCTGAGAACCACCTGTTACATGTCATTGCAAATTAATGAAAGTATAATAATGTTAATTACATTATACAAAAAAAAATGTTAAAAATATTTCAATATGGTTTTAGTTGCTCTTACTTCTGAATTTCCCCCCACTCAATTAGATGTAGTGCCTGGCAATTGTTGTAATCTAATTTAGCAAGCTCGAGATAGTTATTGTTGTTCACATAGGCCATCCTGCATGCGACGAAAAAGGTAATTCAATTATTCAAGGAAGATTAATTTAGATTAAACACTTATTTAATAAATTATAATTATATAAAAAATTGTTATAAATTTGACCTTCAAACCTATTAAAATTTAAATAAGTTAAAAGATCTTATTTCAGTAAGCTTCTTAAAAATATTTATTGAAATAAGTAAAAAAAAATTATAAGAGCCATAAACTAAAATAAGTTCTACAAAAACTCTTACAAATGTTAAAAAATAAAGAGTTCGAAAAAATAGAGTTAGCAGTGCGAAATATGAACAAATTAATGAATCTTAAATAGGCCATTTATCTCAGCATGTTTATTTGTTTATTTATGTGATGACAGATTAAAGCGATGCTAATTATTACTAGCTACTGTGATTCTTCCTATTATTAAAGTTTTATTACAGTTATGTGTGAGATTGAGCATAGTCAATTATTAAAATCTAAAAAGTTTTATGTGAAGTATTTGGAATATTAATAAAATTATTATCTTTTGCTACTATTAATTTAAATTTTTTATACTTTAACTTTTTAGATACGTGAGCCCAAATTCAAAATGCATCGGAAAGAACGTTCGTTCCTGAATGCATTTGACGTTTTTCATTTTTTTATTTTATTATTACTACATCTCGCTGTCTGAGATAAAGGAATTGATGATTCAACAACCAACATCATATACGGGTGTGTCGCTATCGGTATTTTATGTTAATTAAACTGAAAAGTGACAATGACAAATTATTTTATACAAAAACTTTTTAATGTAAAATGTTATCGATTATGCCAATTTGAAGGTTGCAGTTATAAACTGCTCTTAAGAAAATTATAAAATCTTACACTCTAATCCCGATTTATTACTTTAATCATATATATTAACATTAAGCGCCTTTAACAATCATTTATTTGATTTTATCCAATAGATCCTAAATGTTAAAGTCCCAACCCAACATTTGTTATTTTGTTGATCACATGATTGTGATCCTAGATAACTTTAATCATTAGATCGATAAAGTGATTTACTTAATCACAAAACTTGCCTATAAAGATTTTCATCAGTCCATAGGAAAAGAAAAACACTAAAACTTTCAATGATTTATAAATAAAATGAGTCATGTGACTTCACATTCGGATAAAAAACAAATTTGTATTATATTCATTTATAGCAAGATAAAGTATTATCGTATCATGAGTTACATTTTTTTAATATTAATCATTATTTCAGTTCACTTAATTATCACTGTTAGAAAAATTAAAATTAGTTTCAGAATAATTTATATATAATTTTTTTAAAAAAATCTATCACTAAAATTTAGCAGCCTCAAAATTAGCGAGTAAAAATCATTATTAAATTTGAAAATTAATTCACTGTGTTTTCAGCCGTATATAAAAATTTAAAATTAATAATAACTTTAAAATAAATGTAATTTGATATTATTATAATACTTAATAATTAAAATGTCTTCGTCTCATTCTTATAATAACTTACGAGAAATAATAACATATGATACATTCTTGCTAAAATCATTTTATTATTGAGTGAAATTCATATATGGCCCACAAAATATTTTATGTTTTAATAAGTTTGCATCATCTCTTACATTTTTCGTAGTTCAGGATTATGTTAAGTTACAGGGAAACACAATGTGGTGATGGTCTCAAAATTTTTGATAGAATGTGGAGAAAAATAAAATAATAAACGTTTAGAATCAGAAAGTAGAATCCGTTTCGAATAAAGAGAATGAGATGGTCCCTGTTGCGAAAAGAAAATGAAATGTGGTTAGGAGATGAAAGTGCGAAGTACCTATAAAGGGTTTTGCCTATCCACACATCACTCTCACCACCGTATTGATCAATGTAGAATCTTGTCTCCACGCGAGGCAAGTTTGCATACCATGGCACGTCCAACGCATACGCCACCTGCGCACAACACAGAACGTAAACCTTAGTATAAAATTCAGACTTCGTACATACGAACATTAATTATGTGTTCCAACACATTCCTATAGTTGTCAATTTCTTTGTGACATCGATTGAACTATTCACCTACCTCGTCTGCCAGGTTCTTCATTATGATCCATTTATCTACTAGCTCTTTTGCTGCACGCTTATCACTCAAAAATTTGGCCGAGAAGTTCTTGGCATGTTCAAGAATTTTCTCTCCGGGGAACATTACTTGAGTAGCTCTATACAGATTAAACATCCCTGTCACAGCTTGTGTGCTCTGCCCCCTAAAGCAGAAGAATTCACCATTTCTCTCAAAGTACTTGAACACATCTATATCAAAAATAACAAAATCAAGATCATTACCGTCCAATATATAACAAAGCAGTTCATTGAATAAAATGTTTGAGTTTTTGTATATAGATTTAATTTCATAAATGTTACGTTATATGGTTATACTTACCTGCTGAAACTTGGTGGCCGTATAATCTTAGTAACCTGAAACCCATTGCTGTGTCATCAATGTCTTGAACTTCTGAATTTCTTGCCCAACAAATACCCTTTTCAGTCCAATATCTGAAATTTCATTTATAAATTAGAGTTGCTTAGCATTGGAAACCTCTGTTTCATGTTCGGTTAACTAGTTCCAAAGTGTGTTACAAAATATTAATTTAAGGATCATTATTAAATTACCTATAAACATAACCCAAACAGTCTTTAATCTCTTGCTGAAAATACCGAGATATTCCAAGGCGTTCCAGCCTATCGACCACCCAAATATGTTCGAACAAATCCACTGGATACACGTTTGGAACTGGTACAAACAAAAGATCATAAACCATATTAGTATAGTGCCAAATATGGTATGCTATTATTATTACTATAGAAAAGAGGAAATGAAGATTGGAAATGATATAATAATATAAACATAAACAAAATTAAAAAGAAAGAAAGATATACTATATATAAGAAAGGGTTAATAGCGCTTTACCTCCCCCATTGAACTTGGTGACCACTTTATTCAAGTAATTTTGACAATTTTGATCTTTGGTTTGCATGAGAGCAAAGGCGGTGGAAGAGGGAGAAAACAAGAAGGACCCGTCATTAGACTGGAGTTTTAGAAGTTTATTCCAGTCAAGTCCTGACATGCCTTCCAAGCTATGAAGCAGAGTCGTGGGTACTTTATGCATCATATCTCTTGGTATTCTATCCCCACCAAGGCCCACACACACCACAACACAATAATGACACACTCGTTAAAGGGGTGTTGCAGAACTCGGAAGAAAAAAAAAGTGATTCTTAGATATTATACTTTCACAGAAAACAAAGAGTTTGCAAGATAAGGTTGCTTAGAATCTATTATGAAAATAGACATGGGCGCATAACAACACGCTGGCAAGCATAATTATGACCACAACTAAGGTACCTTGTGAGTTTTACGTCTTTCATTGCAAAGATTTTATTCAGGATAGGGGAATTTTCGGGAACTTCGATCTTCAAACCACGAGCCAAGTCAAGAAGTGAAGGGAAAGCAACTTCAAATCCAATTGGCATGTGCTCCGCATTCTCATTCTCCAGCTTGTTAAGATTCTCTCTAAAAAATGCCATCCCTAGTGTATCATGTACCACATTAATAAAAACTCGCTAATTAGCATTTGTTAAATCAGAGGATAATAATAATTATAATTCAGTATTACTACCTTTCTCATACTTTTCATGGTGCATATTCCAGGATTTTAATGCAATAACACAAGCCAACGTGTTAATAATCCGATCATGGGCTGAAAATATTTCTTTATCACCCCATGATCCATCGGGGTGTTGATTTTTTGCAATCCATTCTAGACTCGATGGAAATTGAGGGACACCACTTCCATGAACATCTTCCACCAGAGCAACCCAAGCAGTGTCATAAGCAGATATGGTTATTTCTCCATCATCCATGGAACCCAATATTGATTTGATAGTGTCCACGCGCTTCTTGATCTCATTTCCCACCAAAACCTTCTTTTTGACAATGTTATAGTAACCAAAAGAAATTGCATGTCACAAAAGAAAAAAAATAATCAAAAGAAGTCCATTAAGAAAGGCACAAAACAGAGAGGTGAGAGAGTTTGAAGCACCCCAATGTCTTGCTCCTTTTCTATGTCATCCTCCACATCAATCTCACGCAACTTTAACGTTGCTAGACTACCCTGAAATACGTCTGAATATTCTGCATAACATTGGTCCAAGCATGCTTTAGCGAAAGTAATTAATATTAAACTATTTAATTAAAGTAGAAAGAAACTAAGAAACTCCATTAAATACCTTGAGTTCGTGGCTTGTATATAGCTCTGCATCTTATCACTTGTTTGTCGTTACTCTCGGACGATACAGCACCTATATATAAAAATGATATAAATCTTTCACTTAATTACTTTGTTGGGTGGGAATTAGTTACTATATTACTTTCAGCTTCCAGTGAAAAACTACTCCACTCTTCTTTTGTTTCTTTTTATATCTTTTTTTGGTTTTGGGTGGAGGAAGAAGAAAACAACAGACAGCGCAACTAACAACTTTAGCCTGCTTGATAGTGAAATCTTGAGCTGAAAGTTACAGAACCGGAAATGCTATGTTCTTAACGAAATTAATTAAAAAAATATTAATCAACAAAGGAAACCATGCACATATGCAAGGAAAGAGTATCACTAGTGAAAGAAAATAAAATAAGGTTGCTAAGTAATATCGTGACGATTCTTGATGAATTTCATGCACCATTTGGCTGATATAGCTTCCTACAAGATAAGTTGCCAACTTTTTTTGTGTTTTTCAATTCTTTGGTAATAGAATGTTCTCGTCAACAGAAACTAAAAAAAAGAAAGAAAAAAAAGAAAAGAAAAGAGAATCGAAGACAGGGTTAACAAAAATAGTAGAAAAACATCATATTAATTGTGAGACAAGGGGAATCAAGAAGATGTTGGTGCTTGAGCACGGCATGAGAACTAGACTTACCCAGAGAGGGTTTGGTGAAGGGGTGATGAAAGATAGAAGGAGAAGGTGATGGAATAGGAAAATGGTTAGAAGAGAAAGAGAGAAGGTGGCACTGGGGGGAGAAGTGAGAAGCCATGATGACGTGTTTGTGTTGATTGAACAAATTTTTTGTTTCACTTCGGAGAGAAAGGCAGGATTTAAAAGGCAAATTATGGAGAGGCTAGAAGACAGAAATGACTTCCCAAAGATTCCCGCTAATGGTTGCATGGCATCCTAAGGGCACTCCCGTCCTTTTCTTATTATCATTTCCATTCTTTTCCAACTCAATTTTTTCAAACACCTAATATTTTTTTTGATCTATTTCATTTTTTCCGTCATATCATTATCACCCATAATTTCTATATTATGTTTTTTCCCTCTTTAATCTCCATCTGACTGAGTGTCAAATAGCAATTGTACATGCATTACTATTATAATATAATATATGTAATATATATATATATATATATATATATATATATATATATATATTTTAA